CTTGAACTCCCAGCTTCAAGCAAGCCTCCTGCCTCAGCAGCCCAAAGTGTTGAGATTACAGGTGCGAGTCACTATGCCCAGTGAAATGCTATTTTTAAAAGACATTTTATATGGAGTAAATCCTTTCCACGGGGGGGAGTATAAGCAAAGTAACCTCAGAGGCAAGAAAGAATGATGCTTCTTGAGTGCTGGCCTCAGTGCTTCCCCTCAACAAAACACCCTGGGAGCAGCCGGACACTTTCCACCCAGGCTTTCCTGCCTATGCCGGAAGCGATCTTGCACTTACAGAATCGATCAGTGTGTAGGGGCTCTCCACATTGCTATCAGAGGAGGTGTACTGAGGCAGCTCCAACCTCACCGTGTAGTTCACTCCCTTCTCAAAGCACACCGGCCGAGGAAGGACGACATATCTGACCCCAAATAAAAAAAGACAACAACGAAAGTCAACCTTCATGCATCCAAAAAATAAAAATTAAAAACAAAGCTTTGTGGCGACAATTCCAAATGAAAAAAGTCAGCAGTCAATGTCTCACTCTGAAATGGTGGCTTCAAAACTCGCAAAACATTAGAAAAATATGGCTGGGCATGGTGGCTCATGCCTGTAATTGCAACATTTGGGAGGCCAAGGAGGGCAGATCACGAGGCCAAGAGTTCAAGACCAACCTGACCAACATGGTGAAAACCTATCTCTACTAAAAATACAAAAATTAGCCAGGGATGGTGGCATGCACCTGTAATCCCAGCTACTCAGGAGGCTGAGGCAGGAGAATCACTTGAACTGGGGAGGTGGAGGTTGCAGTGAGCTGAGATTACATCACTGCACTCCAGCCTGGGTAACAGAGTGAGACTCCATCTCAAAAAAAAAAAAAAAAAAATTAGAAAAACACTAATTTGCATATGTGCTCTGTTGAGCTGCAAACCCACTGTCACACTGACCTTGAGCCTGGTGATAATGACACCACCTGGTTGTCATCATCGGGAATGGTATTACCACACCGGCTGCTGGCTGGAATCTTTCCAGGTCGCTGCACTGTGATGACAGCTTTTTCCCAGTGGTCGGGTAGCTAGAATAAGAAACAATGAAAAGATGGTTAGCCCGCCACTGCCTATTTATAAAAAGACCTCTCCAAATCAACTGCCAAGCTGAAGCGTAAAACACAGAGTTACTTTTCCTTTTCCTCTTTACTACTACCTCCGCTATTGCCCTGATTCCAGCCTGAATCCCTTTCCCAGGACACTGAAACACCTCTCAACTGTTCTTGCCTCTTCCCAGTGTCCTTTTCAGTCCACTTTAAAGCGGCTGCAATAATGACAATCCCCTGCCAGAAATGCTTCAATAACTTCCTGTGAATATTACAGTCCACACACCTAGTATTTTTGCCAACAGCATCTCCAACCATAGCTCTCATCAAGCTATGTGGAATGATTCTCAAAAAAACCAAAACATTCCTCTTTTCTGCTCACGCTATTTCTTACTTCCTTTTGTGCCAGCTTTCCACAATTCCATCCACACTTTAAGGCCTAGCTCTGATTCTCTAGGAAAACGTTTTGGTAGCCCTGGCTCAGGCTGGCTGGTGCCTACCCATCTTCTAGCACCATGCATCTCTCTGCTGTTGCACCGTCACCTTTGACAGTTTGGGGCTTGAGTCTGTCACTGGACAGCCAAGCACTGAGGGACAGAAAGGATCTCATACATCCTCATCACCACCTCAGCCCTCAGCAAGGCTGAGTGCCTCATAAAACATCACTATGTTTGAGAAACTGGATTCAAGAAAATGGTACATTTTGGTCGGGTGTGGTGGCTCACACCTGTAATCTCAGCACTTTGGGAGGCTGAGGTAGGTGAATCACCTGAGGTCAGGAGATCGAGACCAGCCTGGCCAACATGGTGAAACCCCGTCTCTACTAAAAATATAAAAATTAGCCAGGCATGGAGGCAGGTGCCTATAATCACAGCTACTAGGGAGGCTGAAACAGGAGAACTGCTTGAACCCAGAGGCTCTGGTTACAGTGAGCCAAGATGGCGCCACTGCACTCCAGCCCCTGGGCGACACAGCAAGACTGCATCTCAGACAAAAAAAAAAAAGGTACCTTTTGGCTGGGTGCAGTGGCTCACGCCTATAATCTCTGCACTTTGGGAGGCTGAGGGGGGTGGATCACAAGGTCAAGAGATCGAGACCATTTTGGCCAAAATGGTGAAATCTGGTGTCTAAAAATAATACAAAAATTAGCTGGGCATGGTGATGTGCACCTGTAATTCCAGCTACTTGGGAGGTTGAGGCAGGAGAATCAACGGAACCAGGGAGTCAGAAGTTGCAGTGAGCCAGGATCACGCCACTGAACTCCAGCCTGGCTACAAGGCGAGACTCCATCCCTGCCCCCCGCCCCCCACCAAAAATTGTACATTTTAACTTCCATGGAGGAGGTTAGACTGTCAGAGTCTGATCTATTCCAATGCAACCTCCATATTTCACAATGATATCTAGTACCCATTAGAAATACTATTTTTCTATTCATTCTCCCCATCCCTCCTCCACCAGTCCACTGAGTGGTTTCTTTACCTGTGGCTCATAGCGAATTAGGATATCATACTCCATGGAATATGGTATGTTGTCAATGAAAAACTCCAAATAAGCCCCTTCAGGCACTCGGACGAAGCCGGCTCCAGTCCAGGAGGGAGTCCGGTCCTGGATATACTGCCGCTCCACTACGCTCACCCCCTGAGGACATGGGGAACAATGGTTATGCTTTATTTGAAAAAGAATTCAACAATGTTTAATAGTTAAAGAAATCTGAAGTCACCCAAAGTGTCAAAACGTTGGCTACCTTCTATCTATTTTTTACAGTCCTATCTCCTCTAATAGATTGCAAAAAGTTTTTGATATCCAAACAGAAAACTGGTTTCATTTTAGTTTTGTGGTTGGAGTAGTCTTGGGACCCTGGAGAAAGCACTCAAAGGCTTGGGATACACCTTATATGATACAACCAGGAGAATAAGCATAATAGAAAAAAGAGAACATCCCACATACCATTATAAGCAAGTCTAGGAATAATAAGATGCTTCCCAGATTCTCCACAAGGCTAGTCCAGTATATCTAGTGATTTCTGTCTCTCATACTGGCATTAGTCTTAAGGCTCCATTTTCAAGTGAAGAAACTTAATATGATAGTGAATGATGACAACTGACGAGTTAACTCTGATTAATTGTCTACAGGGTTATTTTTTAATATCTGTGGTTAGTCATCTCCAAAAATGGCTGCCATCAATTCTTTCATTCCCTGTATGTATCTGTGTGTATCATGTGTGGCCTTACCCATCAACAGGTGCAAACTATGTTATCTTTTCCATGAATCTGGGCTAGCCTTGTGACTTGTGACCAACAGAACGTGAGGAAATGACCTCCTAGGACTTCTGAGTCCAAGCTTTAAGAGACCTGGGAGCTTGTTTCCTCTTTTTGGAAGCTGGAAGTCATGTAAGAAATCTCACTATCCTGCCTCCGCTGTGCTGTGAGAAAGCGTCAACAGAGCTGCCTGGAGAGGTTGTGTGGAGAGAAATGCCCAGCCAGCCTCTAGCTGTTTCAGCCATCCCAGCTCATGAGCCAGGCATACATTTAAAGTCACTAAATTTGGGGATGAATTGATGGAACAGTATCCTTGCCTCAGTATTTACCATGTTAGACTGATAACTTTGGAGCCTAAGTAGAGAGAAGAAGAGTTTTTTGTAAAGACAAATTTCTTAAACCAACCAAAAGCCTTATCAGTGAATGCTCCAAAGCCCATTTGTGAGCTACAGATTCACTTAGCTTTAAATATGACTGTCCTCAGGAAGGCATGGTCCTGATCCTTACTTTGTGCTCACTGACAAAGCTATAAAAATGCTTCTGAAATGGTGTCTTTACAAAGCATGTATGTTCCACTACACCCCAAACACTGCTTTACCGACCTGCCACACACTCCCCTACTCACAGGCCCCAGATTGGCTTCCTCTGCTTCATAGAGGTAGTGATCCAGGGTGGCAAAGTAGTAACCAGGTTCCACTTCGCTGCACTGACGTCCAATCATGTGAGGCCGACAGGAGCACTGGCCTGACTCTGCAGAGCACCTGGAAGGGAGGAGGAGCCAGGTCAGCTGAGTTCACGGTCACCTGAGTCAACCTGCCAGAAGCAGTAGCTACAGCTGCCATTACTCAGTACACAGGGCCAAATACCTACACAGCATTTCATTGTTTTCTTCAGAAAATACATATGTGGAATAAAACAGTGCCTGTGGATTAATTCCAAACTCCAAAAGCATGGTGGACAACCTGGTCTTCTCTGTTTTACCTCCCTTGCCCTCTCCGGATGGACGCTCCATCCACATCACATGGAGGTTTTCTGTAGACATCCCAAACCTTCCTGCTTTGGCATCTTGCATCTTTTGCTTATTTCCTGAGATTCAGGCTCGAATATCCAGCTCCCTGAAGGACATCTCCTGCTTGGCTGTCCCAGAGGCATCCCGAACCAGTGGATCTAAAACAGAAGCCCTTGCTCCCTCCCATAGTCTGTCTCAGGGTGAAGGCACTACCACCTGCGCAGTCAACCACGTCAGAAATATACAAGTTCTTCTCTAGATTCTTTCTTCACACTCCATCAGGAACCAAATTCTGTGATTCTTACTTCTGCATCTTTCGTCTCTCTTCCCCCTTTCCCCTGGCTCTGCTATACTAAATATAAGAAATGCATGAAATAAAAGAAAAATAAGGAATTTAATGTAAATAAACCTTAAAAAATTTAATCATTACCACTGTAGGTAATAAAGCTGTCTGGATAAGCTATAATATATTTATTCTGTTCTCAGCTTATGTCCTTTTTTTTCTTAGTATAATTTTGTATACAAAATAAAACTCAAATTACATGTATCCATTTTTACTTCATTTAAAGGTGAACTGTGGTTTGGAATTGTTACTTTAAACTCATTCTCAAGGTTTTTTTTTTTTTTTTTTTTCCTTTTTTTCTCATACCAAAGTTTTAAACAAGGTACCTAAGGCAAGTTGCAACTCACAGGAAGACTTTGCACTCACAGGCTTATTAAAAATGTCTCGAGGCTGGGTGTGTGGTGGCTCATGCTGTATCCCAGCACTCTGGGAGGCCAAGGCGGGTGGATCACTTGAGGTTAGGAGTTCGAGACCAACCTGGCCAACGTGGTAAAACCCCGTCTCTACTAAAAATACAAAAAATTAGCCAGGTGTGGGAGATGCACCTATAATCCCAGTTACTTGGGAGGCTGAGACAGGAGAATCACTTGAACCCGGGACGCGGAGGTTGCAGTGAGCTGAGATCATGCCATTGCACTCCAGCCTGGGCAAGAGAGAGAGACTTTGTCTCAAAAAAGAAAAAAAAAGAAAAAGAAAAAGAAAAAGAAAAAGAAAAAAAAGTCCCAACCTGCCATGGTATAGCTGAAGTCCTCTTTCTATATGTCATGTTGTTATGTGTTAACCTTCATAGCCAATTCCCAGGAGAGGAAAGCTTGTTCCAATTAGGGCCTAGCTCTCTTTTGGCACAGACCATGAACAAAAGCTATTTTCATAAATTCAGGCATCAGACATTACATCATATGGACAAAAGAAAATTCTTTCTTCCCCAGATGTTTACTGACACAACAAATATCCAAAACATGAACCACCACAGAAGAAAATAACTAGCCCTTCACATACAACCATTAGAAAACGAGCAAAGGAAGGTGAGGACAAAGATACCAGCAGCATCCTGGTGCTGCCTCTGTCTGCCAACAGTTCTAAACAAGGAACAGCTCCATGAGACCCCATCATGTGAAAGGAATTCCCTTAACAGTGGCCCTGTCAATCACATGTCTCTGTCCACAGGCTTGAATTGTCATCACTGACAGGCATGGCTCCAATTTAACACTGGCGCCTTCAGTGAACTCATTCTCATAGCTTTCCTAGGCAGACGGCCCTCACCCTAACAGCTCTCAGCACCCAGCAGCCAGCTGTGCTCTACTTCTCTATTTCCAGCCATCAATGGGACATTTCCATGGACTGGCCACCTGTCATCTCTAATTCACGAACAGATCATCACCTCCCACACTGACTTCTTATCCTCAGCTCTGCTACTTCTGCCAGTAGATTTAAAATTCTTCTCATGGTGAAGGTGCGACATCACCTTCTATTTCCTTTATCCCAATATTCAAGTCTTACTTCAAAATATTTCTCAACTTAGCAGTTTTCTCTCATTGTCACTGCCACTGCCTCAGTCCAGGATGTCATCATCCCATACCTGTTACTCTAACAATCTCCTAACTGACCTCTCAAACTCTTTTCCTTCCTCTGCCCAATCCATCCTGTCTACCACAGGCCAACCAATCTTCCCATAGCACTGCTTTCACTGTTTCACAAAAACCCACAATTGTTTCTTACAATTTCAAGTCATGATTCCTCTGCCTGGCTTTCTGCAGCCTCCATAACCCAGCCCCTGAAAACAGCCTCTCTTTCTGGTGCCGAATCTTTGCTTTCCAATGAGCCACACTCCTCATGCTTTTCAGCAAATATTTACTGAGCAAATATTGGCACTGGCAGCCTCGCTTCCCAGTGCAGGTAGACTCACAGTTGAGTCCATTGTGAACTTTGTTCTGAATGATTCCTTACTTCCTCAGCAAGTCTATTATTTCTGGCTAAATGATATGTAGAAAGAGAAACGAAAAAAAAAATCTCTGTCCTCAAGAACTTACCGTCTAACTGAGGATAAGAAATAAAGTAATTAACCAATGCAACAAATCAAAATGCAGGAAGAACCTATGCATTAATAGAACTACAAGCAAAGCACAATGGGAGAAGAAGATACGATTCATCTGATTGAGGAGACTGAGGGAGGCATATGAAAGAGGCATCCTTAAAGCCTGGAGAGGAATTGACAGGCAGAGAGAGGACAGGAATGACAGGAACAAAGATGGTGACGGGGGAATGTGAGCAGAGATGGTCAAGATCAGGCCAGATCTCTACCTTGCCACACCCATTCCCATCTCTGTGCCTTTAACCTATCTTTTCCTTCCCAGGTAAGAGGCCCTCCCCTGCTCACCAATCACACCTTTCAGTCACTGCAACCTCTACCTCCTGGGTTCAAGTGATTCTCCTGCCTCAGCGTCCTGAGTAGTTGGGACTACAGCCTGCTGAATCCCAGCCTGAACAGACCTGATTACTGCTGTGGAAGGCATGTATACAGCCACTGAAGCAGCAAGTTTTGCTTCTGAAACAATCTTTTAAGTTTTCCAACAGGGTACTATCAGGCAGGTGAGGATACAAGGAGAAGTTGAAAATTCCAACATGGAAGAGGTACTTCACATAAACCTCACCATGGTGGCACCCTGATTTCAGACTTCCAGCCTCTAGAACTTCCACCATTACTGAAGCAATCTGCCTTTACTGAGGCAGTCCACCATTACCGAGGCAATCAGCCATTACTAAGGCAGTTCTAACTGTACCACTGTAAACAAAACCACAAGGAAGTTCACACAACAGCTGGGCAGAGCCCACAGCAGCTCAGCAATGCCTCTGCTGGCAGACTGTGAATGGACTACCTCCTTGCTGGGCAGGGCATCTCTGGAAAAAGGCAGCAGCATGTCAGGAACTTATAAATAAAGTCCCAGGAAAGAGCACCTGGCAAAAAATGTGGTTATGAGTTCCACTGCAGCAGACTTAAATGTACCTGCCCAGCAGCTCTGCAAGGCAAAATGGAGCTCCCAGCTCAGCACTTGAACTCCTATAAGGGACAGACTGTCTCCTCAAGCAGCTCCCCAACCCCCATATATCCAAAGAGACACCTCATAAAGGAGAGCTCAGGCTGACATCTGGCGGGTACCCTTCTGGGATTAAGATAACAGAAGAAACCAGCAGCAACCCTTACTGTTCTGCAGCTGCTGCAGGTGATCCCCAGGCAAGCAGGGTCTAGAGTGGACCTCCAGCAGTCCTGCAGCAGAGGGGCCTGTTAGAAGGAAAACTAAAAAACAGAAATAGCTTCAACATCAACGAAAAGGACGTCCACTCAGAGAACCCATCCGAAAGTCACCAACTACAAAGACCACAGGTAGATAAATCCACACAGATGGGAAGAAACCAGTGCAAAAAGGATGAAAACACCAAAAACCAGAACACCTCTCCTCCTCCAAGGGATCACAACTCCCCACCAGCAAGGGGACAAAGCTGTGTAGAGAATGAGTCTGATGAATTGACAGAAACAGTCTTCAGAAGCTGGGTAATAACAAACTTCTCTGAGCTAAAAGAACATGTTCTAACCCAGTGCAAAGAAACTAAGAACTTAAAAAAAAAAAAAAATGCTTTCCAGCAGTGACAACCAACACACGAGAACATGCCTCTAGCAAAGGATCTCCTTCATCCCTCTCCAGAAGAGAAGAGGAAACACAAGAAGAAATGCCTGGTGCAGAGCCCCAATTCCTACTTCATGGATGTGAAATGCCCAGGATGCTATAAAATCACCTTGGTCTTCAGCCATGCACAAATGGTAGTTTTGTGTGTTGGCTGCTCCACTGTCCTCTGCCAGCCTACAGGGGGAAAAGCAAGGCTTACAGGAGGATGTTCTTTCAGGAGGAAGCAGCACTAAAAGCAGTTTGAACCAAGATGAGTGGGAAACCACCTCAATAAACACATTTTGGATTAAAAAAATAAAAAAGAAACTAAGAACCTTGAAAAAAAGATTTGACAAAATGCTAACAAGAATAAACAGCTTAGAGACGAATATAAATGAGTTGATGGAGCTGAAAAACAGAACACGAGAACTTCATGAAGCATACACAAGTTTCAATAGCCGAATTGATCAAGCAGAAGAAAGGATATCAGAGATTGAAGATCAACTTAATGAAATAAAATGAGAAGGCAATATTAGAGAAAAGAGTGAAAAGAAATGAACAAAGCTTCCAAGAAATACGGGATTATGTGAAAAGACCTAATCTGCGCTTTATAGGTGTACCTGAATGTGATGGACAGAATGAATCCAAGCTGGAAAACACTCTTCAGGATATTATCCAGGAGAACTTCTCCAACCTAGCAAGGCAGGCCAATATTCAAGTGCAGGAAATACAGAGAACACCACAAAGATATTCCTCAAGAAGAGTAACCCCAAGGCACATAATGGTCAGATTCACCAGGGTTGAAATGAAGGAAAAAATGCTAATTGCAGCCAGAGAGAAAGGTCGGATTACCCAAAAAGGGAAGCCCATCAGACTCACAGTGGATCTCTCACCTGAAACTCTACCAGCCAGAAGAAAGTGGGGGCCAATATTCAACATCATAAGAAAAGAACTTTCAACCTAGAATTTCATATCCAGCCAAACTAAGCTTCATAAGTGAAGGAGAAAGAAAATCCTTTACCAATAAGCAATTGCTGAGCGATTTCCTCACCACCACGCCTGCATTACAAGAGCTCCTGAAAGAAGCACTAAACATAGAAAGGAACAACCAGTACTAGGCACTCCAAAAATGTATGAAATGGTAAAGATCATTGATACAATGAAGAAACTGTCAATGAATGGGAAAATCATCCAGCTAGCATCAAAATGGCAGGATCAAATTAATACATAAAAATATTAACCTTAAATGTAAATGGGCCAAATGCCCCAATCAAGAAACACAGACTGGCAAATTGGATATAAAGTCAAAACCCATCAGTGTGCTGTATTCAGGAAACTCATCTCACATGCAAGGACACAAATTGCTCAAAATAAAGGGATGGTGGAAGATGAACCAAGCAATGGAGAGCCAAAAAAACCCCACAAAAACAAAAACAAAAAAAATCAGGCATTGCAATCCTAGTCTCTGATAAAATAGACTTCAAATCAACAAAGATCAAAAGAGACAAAGAAGGGCATTACATAATGGCAAAAGGATCAATGCAACTAGAAGAGCTAATGATCCTCAGTATATATGCTCCCAATACAGGAGCACCCAGATACATAAAGGAAGTTCTTAATGACCTACAAAGAGACTTAGACTCCCACACAATAATAGTGGGAGCTTTAACACTCCACTGTCACTATCAGTCAGATCAACAAGACAGAAAATTAACAAGGACATCCAGGACTTGAACTCAGATCTAATAGACATTTACAGAACTCTTCGCCCCAAATTCACAGAACGTACATTCTTCTCAGCACCACATCACACTTACTCTAAAATTGACCACATAATTGGAAGTAAATCACTCAGTGGAATTCGTAACAAGCAGTCTCTCAGACCAGAGTGCAATCAAATTAGAACTCAGGATTAAGAAACTAACTCAGAACCACACAATTTTGTGGAAACTGAACAACTGGCTCTCGAATGTTGACTGGATAAATACTGAAATTAAGGCAGAAATAAAGATGTTCTTCAAAACCAACAAGAATGAAGACACAACATACCAGGATCTCTGGGACACATTTAAAGCAGTGTCTAGAGGGAAATTTATATCAATAAATGCCCACATGAGAAGCAAGGAAAGATCTAAAATCGACAGCCTATCATCAAAATTGAAAAAGCCAGAGGAGCAAGATAAAAAAAAAAAAAAACAACTCAAAAGCTAGCAGAAGACAAGAAATAACTAAGATCAGAGGAGAACTGAAGAGCGAGACACAAAAAAACCCTTCAAAAAAATCAATAAATTCAGGAGCTGGTTTTTTGAAAAGATCAACAAAATAGACCACTAGCCAGAATAATAAACAAGAAAAGAGAGAAGAAAATAGATGTAATAAAAAATGATAAAGGGGATATCAGCACCAATTCCACAGAAATACAAAATACCATCAGAGATTATGACAAACAACTCTGCACATACACCAGTAAATCTGGAAGAAATGGATAAATTTCTGGACACCTGCACCCTCCCAAGCCTAAACCAAGGAAGAAGTTGAAACCCTGAATAGACCAATAACAAGGGCTGAAGTTGAGGGAGAAATTAGTAGCCTACCAACCAAAAATATCCCAGGTCCAGATGGGTTCACAGCCAAATTCTACCAGATATACAAAGAGGAGCTGGTACTACTCCTTCTGAAACTATTCCAAACAATACAAAAAGAGGGAATCCTTCCAAAATCATTATATGAGATCAATTTCATCCTGATACCAAAACTCAGCAGAGACTCAGCAAGAAAAGAAAATTTCAGGCCAATATCCATGATGAACATAGATGCAAAAATCTTCAATAAAATACTGGCAAACCGATTGCAACAGCACATCAAAAAGCTTATCCACCATGATCAAGTAGGCTTCATCCCAGGGATGCAAGGCTGGTTCAACATGTGCAAGTTTATAAACATAATTCACCACCTAAACAGAACTAAAGACAAAAACCACATGATTATCTCAATAGATGCAGAGAAGGCCTTCAACAAAATTCAACAGTCCTTTATGCTAAAAACTCTCAATAAACTAGGTATTAATGGATGTATCTCAAAACAATAAATTTTTTTAATTGTGACTTTGTGATTTACGACAAAGTCACAGCCAATATCATACTGAATGGGCAAAAAACTGGAAGCATTCCCTTTGAAATCTGGCATTAGACAAGGATGTCTCTCACCACTCCTATTCAATATAGTATTGGAAGTTCTAGCCATAGTCAACAGGCAAGAAAAAGAAATAAAGGGTATCCAATTAGGAAAGTAGGAAGTCAAATTTTCTCTATTTGCAGATGACATGATTGTATATTTAGAAGACCCCATCGTCTCAGCCCAAAATCTCCCGAAACTGTTAAGCAACTTCAGCAAAGTCTCAGGATACAAAATCAATGTGCAGAAATCACAAGCATTCCTATACACCAATAACAGACTTAAAGAGAGCCAAATCAAGAGCAAAGTCCCATTCACAATTGCTACAAATTGAATAAAATACCTAGGAATACAACTAACAAAGGATGTAAAGGATCTCTTCAAGGAGAACTATGAACCACTGCTTAAGAAATAAGAGAAGACACAAACAGATGGAAAAACATTCCATGTTCATGGTTAGGAAGAATCAGTATTGTGAAAATGGCCATACTGCCCAAAGTAATTTATAGATTCAATGCTATCCCAATCAAGCTACCTATCACCTCTTTCACAGAACTGGAAAAAAACCACCTTAAACTTCATGTGGAACCAAAAGAGAGCCCACATAGCCAAGTCAATCCTAAGAAAAAAAAAAAAGCTGGAGGCATCATGCTACCTGACTTCAAACTATACTACAAGGCTACAGTAATCAAAACAGCATGGTACTGGTACCAAAACAGAGATACAGACCAATGGAACAGAACAGAACAGAGGCCTTGGAGGCAAGGCCACTCATCTACAACTATCTGATCTTTGACAAACCTGACAAAAACAAGCAATGGGGAAAGGATTCCCTGTTTAAATGGTGTTGGGATAACTGGCTAGCCATGTGCAGGAAACAGAAACTGGACCCCTTCCTGACACCTTATACTAAAATTAACTCCAGATGGATTAAAGACTTAAACAGAAGACCTAACACCATAAAACCCTAGAAGAAAATCTAGGCAAAATCATTCAGGACATAGGCATAGGCAAGGACTTCATGACTACAACACCAAAAGCATTGGCAACAAAAGCCAAAATAGGCAAATCAGATCTAATTAAACTCCAGAGCTTCTGTACAGCAAAAGAAACAATCATTAGAGTGAACTGGCAAGCAACAGAATGGGCAAAAAATTTTGCAATCTACCCATCTGACAAAGGGCTAATTTAATCCAGAATCTGCAAAGAACAAACAGATTTACAAGAAAAAAACCCATTCAAAAGTGGATGAAGGACATGAGCAGACACTTTTCAGAAGAAGACATATATGAGGCCAACAAACATGAAAAAATGCTCATCATCATTGGTCATTAGAGAAATGCAAATCAAAACCCAGCTGAGATACCATCTCACGCCAGTTAGAATGGCAATCATGAAAAAACCTGGAGAAAACAGATGCTGGAGAGGATGTGGAGAAATAGGAACACTTTTACACTGTTGATGGGAGTGTAAATTAGTTCAGCCATTGTGGAAGACAGTGTGGCAATTCCTCAAGGATCTAGAAATAGAAATTCCAATTGACCCCGCAATCCCATTACTAGGTATTTATCCAAGGGACTATAAATCATTCTATTATAAAGACACATGCACATGTAAACAGTGCCACAATGAACATATAACAGCAAAGATTTGGAACCAACCCAAATGCCCATCAATGATAGACTGGACAAGGAAAATGTGGCACATATACAGCATGAAATACTATGCAACCATAGAAAACAATGAGTTTGTGTCCTTCGTAGGGACATGGATGAATCTGGAAACCATTATTTTCAGCAAACTGACACAAGAACAGAAAATCAAACACTGCATGTTCTCACTCATAGGTGGGTGTTGAACAATGAGAACACATGGACACAAGGACGGGAGCATCACACACTGGGGTCTGTTGTGGGGGACTACGGGAGGGACAGCTGGGGGTGGGGAGGTTGGGGAGCAATAACATGGGGAGAAATGCCAGATATAGGTGTCGGGGGGATGAAGGCAGCAAACCACATTGCCATGCATGTACCCATACAACAATCCTGCATGATCTGCACATATTCCCCAGAACCTAAAGTATAATCATTTTAAAAAAAAGAAAAAAAATATATATATATATCATACCTTTCA